GAAATGCCAAAACTTAACACATTATGAGAATTTGGGCTCTTTAGCCGAATGCATTTGACATTTCGGTATATGGTATTTTATTGTACACAGCTGTTACATAAGTTTAAAACGAAACGTTCAAGCACCGTTTGGATAAACAATGTATTAAGAGTCCACTGCCTTGGGCCATGTAAAGCGCATAAATAATACTGGAAACTTTTTGTCACTTGAGGCGCAACCCTTTCTGATAAGGCCAAGCCAACCAGCAGCCGGAGCAGGCCAATAACAAAATCAATATTAATTTGGTCTAGCCCTCAGCATCGCCGTCATTGGCATTGACTTTAAATAGGGAATGGAAAAGGCAGCCACTCAATGCAACTGGCAAATACTCTTACAAATATCTAACAATAAATTGATTTACAAATCAAATATTTGCCTCAGCTAGTTAATCTGTCAGAAGAGATGAATAGACAGTTCAATGTTGTTCCTGTAAGGCCCTTGCTTAACGCTGTCTTGGACCGTAAAACCCGTCAAGGAGCTGGCCATGTGACGGCCGTCAAAGGAAAATGTTGTTCTCCAACTTTTTCGTGGCAAGTTTTGAACGTGGCGCAGCTGCGGCTTGGCGGCTCCTGCGGCTCTTGTTATTGTTGTTATTTACGATTAAAGTTAGCCGTACTGTGCCGTGCCGTACCGCGTCGCGCCGTGCCGTGCCGTGCTGTGCCGTGCCGTGCCGTGCCGTTGCAAGCATCGTAAACAGCTTGTGGGCACTTGAATGGGATTTTTCTTACAATTTGCATGCTGCAGTCGGAGTTTGCAGCTTCGATTGGCTTTGCTAAGTTTATGGGCAGCCGCAGTAATTTCCATTTTCATTGGCCGTTTGCCAGTCGTAATAAGCTCTATTTGCAATTAAATGTATTCAATTGCCACGCGAATGTTTAATTGTAGCGCCAATTCGCTTTACAAACACACACATGCATGTATTTGCCGATATACTGTGCGTTTTTCGCATGCTTAATGCAAGTAATCAGCATTAAGCCATGTTTAGGCAAGCGACAGCCACCAAAACCGCATGCCCATTGTATTTGTGGGTCAACCTCCGACATACACACGCGCGTGCGGGGAAACGCGGCAGCTGCTGCTGTCACATTTACATAATTTCATTTGCAACAGATGCGGAGGCCAATTGCCAGCAGTCCACACATCTCCACATTTCCATTTCCATTAACATTCGCGTTGCGGTGCCTATTCATTCGCAGCTCCCACACAATGTCAGGACTTCAACAAATAAGGAGTATTGCACGTTTTTATAAACAAATTTATATTCAACTGTTGATTTGCCATGTCAGCATCGTACGTTATGCGAGCACTCATCCCGCACATATTTGTGTAAATATTCATCACTTAATATCTATGGGTATATAAATAGTGGTGCCCTGCAGAGCGAGAGAGAGAATGGGCTCTACGCCCGGAATGACAGCCGGAAGCTTTTTCATTAATTAAGTTCGAATTCCTCTTTTTTGCATGCTGCGTTCACTCGCATGTTGCACGCAGCGCTCAGAGGCGGCGAGTGTGAAGGGGCTGAGTGAACTGCCTCTCTACGACACAGACAGGAGCATTACGATGACACAGCCACAAACAGACTCAATCTTGTTGAGTAAGCGCCACTAATTTGTTTTTTTTTTTTTTTTTTGTGGTATGGCTGCCTGCCCTCTCACCTTACGCCTTTTTGCTTTTGTTGGGGTTGGCGCTATTGAGTCGGTGGCATGCATAATTTATTGACCTAAAATTTGCATCGATTTCTGTTTGCACCTGTATGAGGCTGAAAGTCTACACTATTGGCCCAGCTTAATGGAGGACCAGCAACAAATACCCTTTTAATAAGCAAGCGAGCAGCTGGAACGAGCAGGTCCTATCATATAATGATGGCAACCATCCGTAGAGCCTGGCAACCTGGTTGCTAGCTAGCCTTAAGCGACCTCTACTCAAACTCAAGACTTGCCATGCAATTTAGCCATTAAAAATCATTAGCATAGGTATTTTGTGTCTGCCTGCCCAGAGCTGCCTAGCTGCCCTGAGCACGATGACGATGAAGTCACATTTTTGGCAGGCAACGTAGCCACAGCTGCATGCTGCATACTTTATGGCGCCAGCCAAGCGTTTTTATTAAACGAAGAGGCAGCAGGCACTGACATTATTGCAACTTCAGTAGCAAGTCGGCATTGTGTGGCGAAAACTGCATACTGACAACATGGGCTGCCTGCAGTGCTGGTTTAGGTACCAGCACTGCCTCTTTCGGTATCGAAAGCTCCTCCACTGCGTCCAATGGTAAACAGCTAAATAAAAAGGAACAATCAGAACATGCAACTTTAGTGGATAAAGCAGAACAGGACACGCACCAGCTGGATACATAAATCGAATCGCTTCAGAAGTTTCCTAAACACAGATCAAGGATCGGCCTGGAACGATCGTAGCATAGGGAGCTATACCATATACTTAAGGGTAGATAAATAATTAGCTGTTGACTTTCCCTTTCTCATCCAACTTGGTGTTGCAACAATAAAAGTATAGAATAATAGTAGATTTAAGACATGAAGATGAAGATGAGCTGAATGATAAGAATCTCTTGATGATGAACTACAATATTGCATGTGCATGTATATATTTTAGTTTAAGAATATATATATGCAGTCGATGCAACAACACAATAAAATGACTAACAGAACTCGCAGAAAAGTTTCCTGCGAATTGGCAGTCAGGCACAACTCTTAACTCAGCGTGAAATTAAGCCGAAAAGTTTGCGTGTAAATCGAATTACGCAACACACAGAAAACTGCAACTGTGGATAATTATAAATTCAGCGAACCACAGAGCCGCAAAATTTTGTAATTCGAAGTGCAGTCCGTACCACATCCGGCCGCCGCTGCCGCTGTCGCTGCCATTGCATAGTTTGCGCTAATTTTTGATTTTTGTTGGTATTTCATAGAGAATGCGTTGCATTAAAATATATACAATTGCCGTTCTAATTGTATAAAAATGATAACATGTTTTACAAATATTTTGTTCGCTAATTATGTGTGGCTATTTAGGCCACAAAAATGCAATTAGCCGTGAGCGAAATTAACTGAAATATGAGTACGGCAAACACACATACATCGTGGTAGCCAGGAGCCTCTCAAAGTCAACTCGACAACAATTGCTGCACTCCAAGCGCCGAGTACATCAACTGCAGATAGTCAAAAATATGACGTTTCCTAATATCACGCATACGCCAGGTGAGCCGAATATAAAACTGAAAGTTCAATGTTTGGACAATGACAAAACTTTACTCTGCCAATGGATGGCTGTTTTGCCTTTGACAGCACTGAACGTCAAATTGTTTTGATGAGGGTTCAATATTTGCCACTCCGTTGATAGCACACTTGTTGCACGCCCACGCACACAGCCTAACTGAGTGTGACTGCGTTATCAAATTGTTCAAACAAAACTCTAATCTAGGCTTGCTTGGAAATTAATTGAAAGGACCCTGTCCAGTTACCTGCTAACGTCACCTCGCTGTCGGCCTCAAGATTCATAAGAAAATTGACGCAACCTTTAAAAAGTTTTAGATTTAACCGGAAACGGTTTGACCGACCGAACATCGACATGCGTTTGAAAATGTTAACCTCAAAAATAAAAGTAATTTAATTAGTTTGCATTTTTGCGCACACAGCGCCGGCGAGACCTACATAGCCAGCACAAGTAATTTCCTTCTCGGTCCGCATTGTGCAAAAGCTAAGCAAAACTTTTATTGTCGCTGTTGGGCAACGACGCCAGCTGCTAGGCTCCATCTTCTTTTGTGCTGGGCAGCTCCTACTGTTCCTTCGGCTCCTATAATTGCCGCATTCGCTGTGCGCTTGGCGCTGTGCTCGTATCTGAAACCTTATTCTGGCACTAACTGCGTTGACATCTTTTTCAGTGCTCCACGTTGGTGTTGTTGGCTTTTGTCACCTGTGCGTGTGAATGCCTCAAATACTTGTGCGCGATTTCAATGCATTTGCGTGAATACGCAAATCTTGAACTACTTATTTGCCGACGCACAACATAAAGCTACCAGTGTAAGTGTGTGTCTCTGTCTCTATGTGTGTGACCTGTGCAGTTATTTATCTTCACAGAAGCAAACATTTTCTTAGGACAACATTCAGAATAATTTGCCTTCCGAAAACTGAGCTGAGGAAATAGAAAAACTTGCTGCAAATGAATCGTCTGCATTGACAATGTCATAAGACAAATAAATATTCGCCCAGCACTCAACATGGTTCAGGCTTGAATGTATTTAATATGCAACATTTGCGCGCAACTCACCTGACTTATTTATTCATTATTCATGTGGATGGCTGTTGAACTCGTTCGTTCAATTATGCAATCCTCAAAATACACTAAAAGTTCCCACAGCTCAATTTTCACACCGGAAGCCTTCTTCCTTTCGATTCAAACGCCGACACAAACTCACATTCGCATTTATTCATTATCAATCATTTATTCATTAAGTCACGGACAGTCAGCTGCTCATTGCAAGCAAAAACTTTTTGCTGTATACGTAAACGGAAAATTTTAATAAAAATTCTTACGTTAAATTACGCTCAACAATCAATGTATGCCCCGCCCATGCCCATGTCCAACCACCCTCAATCCACTTGTCGCTGTCATTGTCCAAGTGTTCGCTTAAGTGGTGTTAAGTATTTGAAAATCTGTGCTCCTCTATGTATCCCCGTCCATGGCCACTCCATGGAACGCTCGTCTGTTGTTCTGTATTTGTGCTTTGCTCTGCGGCCGCTTTTTGTTTTATTGTTTTACGACAGTTGGCAAAATACTTTGGCTTGCAAAACTTTTGCGCCTGATGGTCATTCATTTGTCCGTGATTTACGAAAGGCAGTCAGCCAGCCACCCACTACCCACTAGCCACCCAGCCTTGCTCATCTGGACCACCCATTAAGAAACTCCACTAGCATTTAGTGTTATTGATTTATTGCTCCTTTGCCACCTTAGATGTGTTCGTAGCTCTCGACTATTCCGTGCTCGCGCACCGCCTGCAAGTCCCTCAAGCATTGCTCCATGGGCGTGACTATACAGAGAGGCTTCCGGCCACTGTAATAGGCGCTGGCAGTCGCCGCATAGCTAACAAGACGTGCGTGCAGCCAGCTTGTCAGTTCGTCCAGGCACAAACACTGCCAAGGATTACCCTCGATCCTGATGTGACGCAACAGCGGCAGGACCAGCTGCTCCTTCAATGTAGGCAGAAAGGTCAGACGATTGTTATTAATTTCCAGGTCGGTTAGCTTGTCAAAGGTGTTAAGCAAATCATCCTCGATTTCCACTAGCCGATTTTCACTCACAGTCAACACCCGCAGCCGACGCAACGGGGCAAACATGCGAATGTCCAGCGCAGTCAACTTGTTGCGGCTCAGGCGCAGTTCTTGCAGAAATGGCATGGAGCTGAAAGCCAGCGGATGCAGTTGCTCAATGTCATTGTGGCTCAAATAGAACGCACTGAGATTTTTCAGAATATAACTTCCGAAGACATTGGTGCCTAGTTGCCTTATGTTATTTTTACTCAGGTCGAGCATCCGTAATGCGGTCAAGTTAGCAAAAACCTCGTCGGGCAAATGGTTTATTTTGTTTCCCTGCAGCTGCAGAGATTGTAAATTGGTCAAGCCTCGAAAGGCAGTTGGAGATATCTTACTGATCTGATTAAGCCTAAGGTTCAGTGTCTCTAAGTGATGCAACCTATTAAACACATAATCCTCCAGAAAGTCCACATTATTCGAGCTATAGTCAAGCAATTGCAGCAAAGGGTCAACGTCAGGTCCAGGACCAACGAACAATTGACGTTGAATTTCATAGATATTGTTATTGGAAACGTTGAGCACACGCAGCTGAGGCAACACATAGAAAATGCCCATGTCTAGAACCTCCAGCCAGTTGCTGTCCAAGTGCAGTTCGTACAGCTGTGGAAGCCCTCGCAGACGACACCACTGAAACTACAAAGAAATGCAAGACTCTAAATTGCCCTATAACTGGCATTTAAAGGATCTTAACTTACATCTCTAACATTGTTGTTGCCAATGGATAAGTACCGCAGATTGGCATTGGAGCCTATTGTAATGTTCTCCTGTTCATTGGTGTGGAGATCCAAGAGTATCAAGTGGTTAAGGTTCTTGAAGGCATCAAGCTCCACGTGGGCTATTGAATTGCTTGAGAAGTTAGCGTAGACAAGATTTGGCATCTGTCTCATAAGAGAGCGGTCGATACGCAACAAGTCGTTGTCGCTGACATCCAAGTTAACCAAGGTCGCGTTGTTCACAAAGTGTTTTCCCCGCAGCTCCTCGAGTTGACAGTGCGATAAATTTAATCGCTGCAGCGAAGAAAAATCTCGGAACCCATTCCTGCCCAGCGTCAAGCCACCAGACTGTGACAGATCCAGTGCGTGCAGCTTAGATAGCTTAGGAAGCGGACTGTTATCATTTTCAATGTCAGTATGTTCGTTGACAATATTCACGCTTTGCCAATCTTCTTCAATATATTGACTCAGCTGCTCAAAGTTTTCGATCTCACGGCAAACATAGCTTTGATGTTCAACATGCTCACATTCCTGTATTGCTTTTGTTTGCACCCCACAGAACACGAGTAGAGCTAAAACCGATATCGACAACATCTGAATTACTACTAAACCGCTCTTTAATTAACATGCAGTGCGTAGCATTGTTTATTTTTAGGCGTTAAACTTGTTTTGACGCATTTCAAGCCTGGCGAACTGCTGGCAAGCCAGTTTATACGCGTGAGAGAGAGTCGGAGGAATCAGATGTCCATAAATATTTTTAACAGAATTCTATTTATTCTGCTGTAGTCCGTTTTGTATAAGAAATTATTTAGTTATTCGATTATCCTTTTATTCAAAACTTGGTAATCCCAAGGTAAAAATAGGCGTTCTACGGAGTTTGTGTTTTAAAAGATGTCTCATGTCAGTAACTCGTTTTCTTTGTTAGGCGTGGTCTGAACTAACAAAGTAAGAAATAAGGAATCCATATATCAAATGCTTCATAGTACATTTAAAATTGATTAGACATGTTTATAAATAAAATATATTAAAATATTTCAGTTTTAGTAAATTGTTCTACTCGATTATTTTATTAAGCTGATTTTAAATTCAATTAACAAAATATAAACAGTACAAGGAACATTAATGTGCATGTACATATATATTCGTAAATTTATTTAACAATCAAAGATAGGTACTTCTTCAGAGTAGATGAGTACATTAAAGATATTTACTTTAAATATTCTGCAATACACACATATATATATCTTTTTATATGCACTAAATATTTATATATATATTTATACATATATAATCTGTATTTATATTAAATATACGAAGACACATAAATAGTTAAAGTACATTTTTCACCCTGTCTAGATTCAATTTTTCATTCATATATATTTATATCATTCATCAATAATTTTTTTATATTCATTAAAACATCAATATATATATATATATATATATATAAATATCTCAAATACTTATATAAATAAAAATCCCAGTAACACTGTTACCTAATAGAGCAAAAATAATTACATTCAAAATGTATCCTGAGTATAACAAAAATGTTTAAACTTTTTAAGTTGCCTTTAGCGAAATTGGTTGAAATCAATTCAGTATAGCTTGGGGAGTTAAAGATTGTAGTTGCTTTGGCCATAGGGGACTAGTATGCGATAGGTCACAGGGTTTCGATAGTAAATTTAGCGTTACATTGGGGACACGTCTATTGTACAAAAATTCACAAACAGCTAGAACATTCCTGGCGTATCGGTCTCGCGGTTTCCGGACTTCTCAAAGAACATGGCATCCTATAAAGAAACAAAATTGAATGAATTAATAAATTAGATCAAAATGTAATAAGCCGAAATTAAAATGCATATTGTGTGATTTACTATCCGATTGTGCGATTAAATAACAAAAGCAGTTGCTTACAATGAGGAACGTGGCACCCAGCAGCACGGCTTTCATGCGTACGTCTAGATCCAGTGGGAAAGTGATGCCAAAAAAGTCTGCGTCGGTAAAGATTTCGCGTGCCAGACCTGACCACTGCTTGGATATTTTTCCCACCTTCGCTCCAGTTAGGGAGACGACCTGTATTGCAAATATAATTATTAACAAGTCCTTTATCAAGTTGAAAACTCTTACGTTGAACTCGACGTCGCCACACAGTGAGAACGTGCACATGGGACCCTCAATGCGAAGCACCGTGTCGCCAAGGTGATTTAAAATGCGAAACGACGGAGAGCAAATGGACCACTCCTGTTCTATAGATCCAATAACATTGCCTGGTGGCGCGGAGACTTCCAGTGTCTGTAGGCAGCAGGGAAAGCAGCAAGCTGAACAGGCCAATGGACGACTCAAGTGAATGACTTCTTGCTGGAAGTTGTCGAAAATTTTCATATCGAAGGGCCGTGAAGGACCACACATGTTGCGTGTGCAGCAATCATTTTCCTCCACCGCATAATAGACCTTCTGGCCGAGTGCGTTTTTGATTGAGAACTTGTTGTTGGTCTCGAAGCCAGTAAAAGCCTCAAGCAACTCTACTTTCTGTTTAACTAAAAGTTGATCTATACTCGTAAGGTATTCCAATCCGCGCGGACAGTTCGGAATTCCTGAAGGTATACTCATCCAGTCGCCTGTTGTAAAATAAAGAATAAAATACACATCATCAATGCAGCTGCTCTTAAGTGGAGCACTCTTTCAAAATCACATCAACACATGTGGGATGCAAGCCCCGACCGCCCACAAAAGCGTGTCAATTGGTCAATGTCGCTGTCATCATTTCAATTGCCCAGCGTCATCAAGAACAAGCCTAATTGAAGGCATTACAGTGGAAAGACCACGACCCTGGGCGGTTTATTGTGCTTTTTACGCCACTTAGAGTAGCTTATTTTATCTAATCTCATTGTAGGCTTAGCGGTAATATTTACGTCAGATAATATTTCATCACGATGAGTCTATTATTATATGGCTGTTTTCTTTGGCACATCTATCAAGGCAAATTTCTAAGCTGTACGATAAGATATATCGTGATGAGCTGATTTAACCTTGATAAGCCAATCACATTTGAAGTATGAATACAGTAAAACTGTAAATTGCTGTGGTTTGCCTCACCTCTTGTCCTCATCACTCATATAGAATTCGTAGCCCTTGCGCTTAGCCGACTTATTTAGCCGCATTGTGTGCCGAAACTTTTTAGGCAAGGGCTTATTAGCCTCACGACAGACCAGCTGCTTAAGCGTCTTGGAGCGTGTGCAGAAAAAGTTATACTGGCTGTACAGTGAATGCCAAATGAAGCGTATCACTTTCGAGCCGCTGCTGGCACCGCCACTCGTGGACTCCTTTTGGTCACCAGACTCGTTTTTAGTCAGATCCAATGTGGACAGATAATTCGAACTGGATGCTGCAGCTGTAGCGTTTACTACGGCGTTTGAGGCTGACATCGCACTCAGTAATTGATAGAAACGTTGTTGCGACTGTTCACGATGCTGCACTGAGCTGAACTGAAACGACTGCCTGAGAGACGCCACACAAGTTGACAGTTGACAGCACGTCGGCTTTCAAAATTCATCGTAGTCACCATAGCCGAACGTGTTTTAAACAGCATATTGTATTATTTTATTGGTTCAATTAAAGCAAACGGCGCTTCGCGATAAGAGCCAGCGGGTTGGCTTTGGGATGCATATAGCCTGCATATGAGGAAGCCTCGGCCCATTATCAAGTCGGAGAGTAAGCGCACTTGGTTTGTCAACAACATCTTTCAGTTGACAGAAACGTCTTTGTGTTATCTTTGCTTATCTGGGCAAGAGCTCATCTGGGACAGTTCAAAAAACCAATCACACTGTAAATGTAAATGTTTACCACTCTATTTCGGGTGCTAATAGAAATTGACTTTGTAGTCTACCGCTTCGTTATCATTAAACACCTTGACACGGCGATGCGTTACGATGCCAGTGCAGATGTGGACAAGCTATTATCACATTCACAGTGCAGTGACCCTAATTGTGAATATAGAAACTGAGCAATGCGTGAATGCACTCTTTTGTCTTAATTGATTTCAGTCCATTCCTATTGTGCTATTGTGCGTTTGTTCAAAGTTGCTTGATTTGTACCCCAAACCTATAAGTAGACCACATGCACATGTGTTTTGTAAAGGGTGTAGAAAGTGATCTTATTTATACAGCAACTGGTAAAACTTACCTGCTGGTCCCCCTGGACCAGGGTGTGGATGAGCTGGTCCCATGCCTGGATGTGGATGAATTGGCGGCATACCAGGCTGGCTTACAATTGGTTGCTGAGGCCCTGCTGGACCTGGTGGATATCCAAATGGTTGCGGCGGACCAGTCGGCCCAGGCGGGTACCCAAACGGCTGTGGACCACCACCAGCTCCAAAAGGCGCTGGACCTCCATAATGGGGCTCTCCGCTAGGCATTTGAGGTATTGGTGCGTAACCTCCTTGGGGTGGACCCGGCGTGAAGCCCTGCAAAGCAATTAACGTGTAATAATTCACCATAAATTATAGTCAATGACAAAGAAAAGCTACCACTGGCATGTCAAACGTGATATCTTCATACAAATATATAGGTAATTCTGGTGTTATCTGATTATTGCAATATTTGATAGAACTTACAAGAATCTGATGGCTATAGTATGACGTAATAATAACCGCTGACTCTGATAAATATAAGAATTCTATTGCATACCTGTGTTTACAATAATATCTCAAATGATTACAGCTTAGCAAGAGCAGCAAGGCAAAGACCAGTCAGTAGTCGATAGCAAAGTCTGCTGATGAAAGAACCGGAAGGTTCGTATAATAAAGATAGAGACTAAGCAATTTGAAACGTTGATTAAAATTAATCAACAAATACAGGTACAAACGCTACAAAATAGAAAGCTTCCAAAAAGCTAATTGATATATATTCACTAATGTGTTATTTAACATTATTAATCGATTAGGAAACCTGTTTCAGTCTTCAATGCAATCGCTCTTTAAATTGTTTAATGACTAATGCAATGCTGGAAACTCAAATAATTTCTAAATATGTTCGCAATGGACAACTCAGCGAAATAACAAATGCAATCCATTTTCATTTCAAAATTCTACGTCTTGCTATTTACACAGGGAAACCTGCCTATAAGGGACTTGAAACATATTAGAACACGCCCTTTTTGTGTTGTTATTATACAAATAGTTTATCATTTGTGAACTGGAAACAAAAATAAACACGCAAACTTAAAAGTGACGTCATATTCATATATAAATGTGTGCGAGTGAATGTATTATTATGTATACCCGAGTTGACAACGCCCCCAAAAATCGAGGGTACTCACATAGTTGTGTGGTTGTGGCTGGCCACCGTGCTGTGGTCCTGGTGGATAGGGCGCATTCGGTGGTGCGTATGGAGCACTTGCGGCGGGCGGCGCGAATGGAGCACCCTCTGCAGGCGGTGCATTTGGTGGATAATAGCCAGGCGGTACATATCCGCCTTTATTGACATTATTCATGTTCATATTGTTGTGCGTTGTTGTTGTAGGTGGTTGGAAGCAGTGTTTTCTCCCAGTCCGCTTCAGTTCGCTATGGTTATATTAATACATAGTAGGACGCTTTTGGTTTTGACAGCTTATGCATATACTTACTATTTTCTTCTTGAATACTAATTTATTTTCTTAATACTTTCGCGTTATTTTGTTGCCAGAATAGTCGAACGTTGAATTAGTGTGACCAGCTGCTATAAATCGAAAATACTAATATAATATACATCACAATCGATATAAGTATCGATATATTTGCCTATGTTGCTTTGCTGACTAATAGGTGGCGCTAAGGCAAAACTGTAACATTGAAACTCAACTACTAGATGGCACTTGATTGTACATGTTCGGCAATTGTGCAATAGATGGCGATTTGGGCACACAATTATTGAAGTACAAAATTTATAAAATATTCACTAATTTTCTTTTAATTCTTTAAACTCGACAATGTGGTTTCTGTTGGCTCGTTTAAGATATGTTTAAGTGGATAAAATGAATAAATTAAAAACTACACATCACAAAATTGTACCTCGATATGAACTTTTCCCCGAGTAAATCTGATGTTAAGCTAATAAATTTATTTACTGTTTATTTTTTTCATACTTTATTATTGCCAGGCAAATAAATGTACAAAATACTTTTATCTACTTTTTGCATCAACAGAAACCGCCATTTTTTATTTATCTGCAGCCCACATTTTTTTCTAATGCGCAAATTCTGTGCGAGGGTGCGAGTGCGTCAGGGTGCGAGCTGGCCGATGCGAAGGAATGAGAGAGACGGAATGAGAGAGGCGAGCAACGCTGTAAGAGGGCTGACGGAGAGGTTGGCGTAGTTAGCGCGCATAAAAAATGGCGGTTTCCGAGGCAGGCAAACAGAGAAAAAAGCCGATGGACGAGGGCGAGGAGGAGGAGCAGTCGCCCTGCTGCTGTCCCTGCCCCCGCCGTGCCTGCGTAAGTGCGAGCGAGAGAGCGACAGCCAAACAGAAAAAATTCTAAAAAAAATGTTGGAAAAAAATGCGAGCAAAATCCACCCCATGGCAAAGGGACAGCAAACAGACGTCACTCACTCACACGCACACACACTCACACACACGCACACTTATATATATATATATATATACTGGGACATCGTAATTACCAATACAAATGCAAGGCGCAACGGAGAAATCATCATGAGCCGCCGCCCACTCGTGGTCTTTGCTTTAGATTTCCGTCTCTGGGGCCAGAACAAACCAAAAGCCAAAGCCAAAGCAAAAAAAGCGTTGAAATGAGCGCCTTAATGCGCCATATAACGCGATATTAATGCTGTTGCATCCGTGTGTGTGTGTGTGGGAGAGAGAGTTTTGCACATTCAATTAGTTGGCATTGCTTTTCGCTTGGCAACAGCAAAAACTACAACAAACAGCGAGGCACAGCGAGTTTCTGCGGTTGGCAACCGACACAAAAGCTGCAGCTCCAACTGAAGCGGTTCCTGCCACCAGCCCAGCAGTGCGCTCCACCCACACATGACCTCGACCTCAACTCTTTGGCATGCGCTGCGCCCGCCTATGGCGCCCGCACTGCTGCAGCTGCAGTGCTTAAAAATCTTGAAAAATCAGGCAGCCGGCAAACGTATTGCAGCTCCCGAGGCACGCTCAATGCGGGCATCGGCCTCCGCTCCCACTCCCGCCCCCACCTGTGCCCAGGCCTCGCTCTGCCGACAGGCTATTGTGTAACCGACGGCAGACATGAGTAGAAACAGAAGCAGTTGTAGCGACAAAGTCAAGGGTGGGCGCAGGTGGCCAGCCATCCAGTCAGCCAGCCAGAGGCAACTTAGATGGGTCTCATCTCTGGGAGATGCTCATTAGCCGCTGTTTTTCGCCTTCAGACATTGAAAACTACAAATTGAGCTGAGCCAGCTTTTTGTATTATTTTGTTATTTATTGTCGGGTCGATCAAATTCACATATATATATATATATATATATATATATATATATATATGTATGTGTGTGTCTGTGCTGGATCTCGGCTATCGAAAGCAAGACTAGCTTTCAATGGAAGAGCAGTGCCATAAATCAAGTCTCGTGGATCCTCGCTGTCTCGGTCCCAGCCAGAAGCTTCTAATGTCCACGTTCCTCATTGATCGATGGCTTCGGAGTTGTCTTTTTGCATTTTTATTGTGTGGCCAGCAGCTCGAAGGGACTCGGACACAGACAGCCACAGCAGAAACATCTGCTAGCACCCGGCATACCGTCGAGTGATGCTTCAGGTCTGATATGTTTCGGGTGCAAAGATATGTTGGCGCGTGTTCTAAGGAATTCGCACAAGGCACTCGAATAATTTACATTTAAATGCGACTGTTCGAGGATCCGACAACATCAAATAAATTAAATAAATTAAGAAAAACACAATTTGAAACTACCTGCAAAATACATTTCTCAAAAAACTTTGAATGCCTCACAAAATTGTATAGAAACCTTTAAAGATCTCATTTGAAATTGATATGAATATTTGTAATCGATATGCGAATTAACTCTGAATAAAATAGGAAATTTCATCAAATAATATATATATATATATATTTCTCATTATTATTTAGCTTTTCTTCAACTAATTCGAAATTCAATTGAAATTTCCTATTTTATTCAGAGTTAATTATGCATTAGGCATATATATATGTATATAAATAATATTAATATATATATATATGTTTCTGTTGAACCAGATTATAATGAGGAATATGCAATATATTGTCTTCTGTAAGATTTTACTCGAAAAAAGGCAAAGCTGAAAGAGCTCATTAGTAGCTCAAAGTAGAATCAAAGAGCTCGATTTCCAGAGACATTAACAGATTGAGATCTACAGGTCGAATATGAATCAAAGCCATGATACAAGTAACTTGAAGTTAATTTATATTTAAGATATTTCGACAATCAGAAATTTTGTCTTCGGTTTAGCCAACTTAACTTAACTTAACTTAATAGCTTCAATGAATTTGTTCCAAGCGAAACTCAGAAAAGTCGCAACCAAATAAAATGCACATTGCGCTGGGTCAGGGATGTTGCATGTGTGGGAAATGTTGCAGACAGCAAAAAACAGCAAAACAAGCCTAAATGTGTCAATGTGAAGGACAGCGCCAACAACAACAGCAACAAACACAAATACATCGTGGGGAAGGCAACTGCAACTGCAACTGCAGTTGGCCAGCCAACTGGCGGTCGAGTCGAGCGCAGCTGTTGGTGTCCAAAAAGAGATACACGAGGTCATCTGCACATATTGGCCCCGGCCAATGCAATCACGTAAAAGAGCGACAGGAAGTGGACACACTCACATGCACAAGCGCACCTACACACACACACGCACACACACACACACACACACAACATTCAACGACACCTGTGCTTCTGGCTGGCTATTGCGAAACGTGGTTGACCTGGGTCAGGGCTCGTTTCGCTTTGGGTCGCTCGCAGAGAAAGGATGAAAGTGTTTTTAGCTTAATTACTTAATTAGCACTCGGGCTAGGCGTGCCATCGTCAAGGGTCAGAGCTGGACGAAACTGGGTCAGCAGCGGCAAAGCTAAAAAAGGGCTTATGTACAGCGTAAATCTTAATGAGTTTTCATTTTATTTTACTCTATTTTCATTTTCAACCCGTTCAGTCCGTCCTTTGGTCCTTTTTGTAATTAAAAGCACAATGACCCGACCCAACGACCCTTTTGCCGGCACGCATTCGCGCCAGGGGCTGGGGTTGGGGTTAGGGTTGGGGCAGCAGCTTGGGCTGTGGGGCTTCCGAGCTGGCGCGCAATTAATTATCGAGTGTTGAACTTGAACTTGGCAGCCAGGCGGAGAGTGGGCTTTAAAGAGTGCCTTGACGCTTATTGATTTTACCATAGAGGATGCTCAGCAGAGGGCCAGAGACGCAGCTCGTGAGGCGAGGCAGCTCAGTCTGCTGGCCACATGTCATGGCCAAGAGATTTAAATCAAAGCTGACAGCAGCACAAAGCACAGGAGTTGTGCCTTAACCCTTTCGTTTTAACTCTGCCGTTGTGGACTTTGGCAGGATGCTGCTAGACGGTAATTGCTTATTTAAGCGCGCGCGTTCGTCCTTTTACGGGATGCTGGCCCTGCCCTGCTCAAAAAACTCACACGAAACAAAGCAAATGCCGCGTGTAATTATTGCACGGGCCGCAGGAGGAGGGCAGGTCGAGGAGCTGAGTAGCCAGGCAGCGGGCAGCGGGCAGCAGGCAGCAGGCAGCTGTCTAGCCAGCCTCTGACCAGAACCAGAACCAGGACCAGCCCGAAATGAACTGCAAATCAAACAAGAACTCAACACGAACCGCATGCGTGCATATTAAAAATGTTTTAAAATGAAATTTCGGCAGCGACGACTCCTTTTTTGCTTTCTGATTTTTTTCCAGCGCCTCGCAAAGGGTTAAGGCTTTTGTTGTGCATCCAACTGTGAGCTGAGGTCCTGTGATCCTGCATGCTACATACATCAGTGTGTGTGTGTGTGTGTGTGCGTGTGTAAACGGACTTGCAGCTGTCGTTATCTAGTCTGGACTATCTCGCTGGGCTGGCACGGCACTGATTGAGCTTAGGCCAAGGGTCAGCCACGGGGTGGATTGGCGAGCTGTTTGATTTGGACTGCGGCCGGCGAGTGCTTTTGGGGTTTTTACAGCCTGGCGCGTTCGTTTAGTGCTTGTCGATAGGCAATCTGGCAAAAGGTAAAAAATAAATCATGCAACGTCTGTTAACAACTCAATAATAATAACAATTGCAAAAACTTGCTGCCTGAGTTGTGGCCATAAATTATAACGGGTTTGCCGTTTGGTGGGCATGAACAAAACACACACGAGCGAAATATGTTGCAGCATTTTTCAATTTTAATGACACCAAATGAAGGTAGCAGTGCTCGAGAACCCGAGCTAGCCCGCAACAAGAAATAACAGAAATTATTGTCAATAATTACAATGCGGCCTGGGCTGGTCTTTGACGCGTTTGACAGACGGTAGGAGTGAAAAAGCGTGTGAGTTGCCTGGCCTCAGGTGCCAAAGACAGCAGAGGCGCAGCTGCCATGACTGCGAAAGGGGCACATGCCAGGCCTTACAGCTCAATGATGCAGACTCCCAGCTACTGGAGAGCAATGAATATCCTCATAGAACTTTATATATCTGCTTATTTGTCGAATATACTTGCGGGTTAGTCCATGCCTTGACTTCTAAACTTT